TCCAATCGAATTCTAGCATATGATGACATGTCCCACATTTCTCTTTCGAATGATGAAAACCGCAGATCGATAGCTGCTTTCGTTCTTGAGTTATTAAAACCACAACCAACTGTATTCTATTTTGAAATGGATAGTAGTTTTTCATAACTCGCGAAAAGTTACAGATCTTTGTTGAAGTTAGTTGTACTACTTCAAAACAAATTTTGACACTGTTTTCTTTATGAGTATGAACAATGCATACCCCTCTATCAGTGGTAAAAATATCAGTCCATTTGGTCACAATACGGCGAAGATATGTATTTAAACTTTTCTTTGTGGAGTTACTTTCTGGACACCCGATAGTTAAAGATCACACTATATTCTTAAAACCATAGATATCTATGATGCAAACGACAACGTCTAAAGAGCATTTTAGCTATAGAGTGAATTGAAAATGTTAACATAAGAAAGTGTTTGTGCGAGATATATATATATAAACGACTAATTATAAATGGTGAGAAAGTGGTTTCTTCAAAAATGAAAGTTCTAAGACTAAAACCATTTTCGTATGAGATAAATACATTACTTGCAGGTTTGTTCTTCAATAATTCTAATTAACACTTGGGTGACTTCCATTTAGAAATTACTTATCATTAGTTAGGAAAATATACAGAAAGAACTTGATGTTTGTCCTGTAGGAAACGGAAATTCTAATCGAACGAATTGGGAACTGAGATTTTTATCGTATGTTTCTCAGTTGTACAAAGTTATGCAGGATTTAATAGTTTCAATTGGGTTAACTTTCCTTCCACAGATGAAACCCTTCTTGTTTTAGAATATCTATGAAATAAAAGATAAATTACCTATATTAGTAACTAATGACGGATGTTCTCTTTCATAAAAATACCGATGGAACACTTGCTTATCAAATGTTAATGTAAGTTCATCTAATTGATGTTCAATAAGATAAGATAAACAGTGAACTATTGGTTCAATTGATCCGCATCGAGTAAGAATAAGCGATTTAAGATTAGGAAAATTAAGAATTTTTTTCTCATTAAACAACCATTCATAAATAAGGCCACAAACGCTTGAATTTGTTTCATCAAAATGAATACGTTGAATAGAAGAACAAAGAGATGATGAAGTTAAAATCAATGGAAATAATATTGAAGAACATTTATTATAAGACAAACCTTGTGTAATAAGAATACCTGTATTCGATATATTGTCACTTCTCGAAAGAGTTAAACACACAAGAGAATTTAAACGAGTATTTAATGACCATAAAGATGTTAACATATCAAACCATGATAAATGAGAAAAACATGAAGAAGAATTTCATTAGGTAGTGTTTCGATTTTAGTAATCATTTTATCTAAAAAATGATTATATTAATATAGACTGATAACAATTTTATTACTATTAAAAAGATCTAGGTAGAATGTATTTTGCTACTTGTTTAGTTTAAACACCGCAATCACACCACCCTCATCCACACGCAGTGCTGTGTGTGTGTAAATTACACCAATCAGCGTGAGAGGTGTTTAAACTAAACAAGAACCTGTATTTTCAAATTATCATTCGAAAAATTTGAGTCTTTGACAAAAAAATATAAAACATAGTGAAGCTATTTTTAATGAACGATAGATGTGTCTACAAAAGACTCATCTCTAACGAAAATTTGCCTGTAAAGATATTAGTTGTGAGAAAGATTTGAATTTTTCCTTTTAATCGAAATACTTATTATATTTAGTATTGTACAACATCAATCTATCTAATTAGAATCAATGTATGTTGTACAAATCACAAATGCAAAAATAATATTAGAGAAACTCGAAGAAATGAAACACTTTTCGATAAAGAAAATAAAGCACTTTTTTGATTTTGTCGTCAGATTTTGGTCGATTTCGATTACAACCGAGATGAAACATTTACCAGTAAAATCTCATGCAGGTGATAAGCAATTGAATTATGTTTAGCCTAGAAAAATACAGAAGAAAAAGATAATCCTCTACTCTTTACGTGCATAAATCTTATAGATATCTCAATGAAAATAAAACATAGAAAAAAAGAGAATACATACAGATAATTCCAAAGCATTTGTTTTACAGTATATCGTTTCATAAAACATTCGAATGCTGTTTGTACTTGCTCGTCAATATATGTTACAGAAAAAAGAGAAGCATTTTTCTTTCTTTCTTTCTTTCTTTCTTTCTCATACAAGCCGGACAAATATTCAACGAAAAAAGTTCATATTCGGTCAATGCAGAAAAATGTTTGAACGTTCATCTGTCTAATATATGATGAATAAATTATCATTCCTTTTTTCTTTTGCATGCTGACGACAGTATAGCTATATATAGTTTAATATTTCCCGTAAAGGAAAGAAGGTGTGGGGTGTGGGTGTATCTTTTCTATTCATCTACGCCCACACCCACACCCAACTCAATTTCAATTGGTTTTCATTTGGTTTTACTGTTCCACTCGTCGATGTCATATTAGTAATAGTTCGAACAAAATATAGTATGTTGTTTAGAGAATGAAAAAAAAGCGTTATGTTCGTAAATGTATCAAGCGACGAGCATATTTATTTTATTCGTTTGATTATTGTGCTTCTACTGAAATAGTGTAGAAGAAAAAACAAATGATGAAAAACACAGGTTATTGCAATTGAGTTGCAACCGTCGTCAATTCCAAAGAAAGATTAATGTTTGTCGAAGAAACATAAAAAGCACATAAAGCAAAAAAAATAATTTGCTTCATATTTACACATATTACACGATGTCAATCTGACCAAGAAACTATATGAAACGACTTCTCAATGACAATATTCGAGTTTCTTCTCATAGAAAAAGAATATTTCTCACATGATTTCTAATCTGATCTCACTTTATTTATGTTGAAATATAAGCAGTAATAGTAACTCACAAAAAAATATAAATATCTCTATGATAAACGCAGCTTGTTTTCACTAAGGAGTAATATCGAAAGGAAAATACTTTTTCTCATTCAATCTTGACTCCAATTACAAATCATTTCAATTATTGAATAGATTTTTCAACAATATTCTACACTGTTACAATAGATATGGAGTCAATCTTCACCTATTGATTTCAATTGCACATATACCTATACTCTTTATTAATAATATTTCACTAACGAATTTTTTTTTCTCCTTTTTCTAGACGTATAAGACAACATCTTGTGATAAACTCAGTGGTGATCAAAAATGACGAAGTATCTATAAAAAATATTTCATATTGATATGATAATATTTGTTATTTCAGTGGCTATTGATCGAGCATTAATATCGAATTCAAAGGTTCTTTTATTAGATGAACCAACAAGTAGAAGGCAAAACAAGAATAAATAACAATATTTATAGATCATCGTTTAAGTAGAATGCCAAATACTGATATCATTATTGAAATACTATATGGTCAAGTTATAGAATATGGATATCATAATGCACTAATAGAACCAAAATGCCTCTTTTTTCACTATGTTATGACGCTCGTCAGCCACTATATTGATAGTTGAGTGGAGGTGGGTTGAGGGTGAAAAGAAGATAATCACTCACACCCAGTTTAAAAATATTTTGTCGAATATCAACGATATGTTTAGAGTCTTAGTCTACATCTGGATAGAAAAAGTTAAGATTCGAAGATTTCACTGTTAGCACATCATCTGTAAATAGTGTCTTCGCTCTATTTAATATCGAGAATGTCTTATCAAACCAGTTTTGATCTGAGGTCGGCTTGATGAATAGTACGGCATCACTCTCACTTTCGACATTGCTGAAGGATCTTATAAATAAGAATATTATTTTTGAGGTTGACTCTAGATAAGAGAAACGTGTAGAGCATCAATCGACATATATCGGTATAGGCTTTTGTTTACCAATGATCAACTATATTGAGAATTTTAATTAGATTCCCTAAGAATGAATATTATTTTCGAGAGAAAAATCTCATCAAAGTTTTAAGATACGAATGTGTTTATTTACAGAAAAAACATTGAAATTGAGTGTATTCACTATTAATTTAAATATTTAATTTATCTACAAGTGTTATGACCAATTTTCATTTCAATAAACTATGTTAATAGATTAATTGATAAATAATAACTCAAGCACTTCATTTCCTTAATAATTATACTTAAAATCATATTGAACTTTCTATTTTCATTAGAAATATATCTTGCACTAAATATCTACAGGTCATAATGTATCATCGTGATAAATTTTTCGGATTTTTCTGCCAACTCATCGCGTCCGAGAGTTTATCGATATATGTCTTTGATTTGGGCGTTTAACATTGTTTTGTTCTATTCATTCATTCATTCACAGTAACTCGGTTTAATTGAACTATATGACTTCTCTCTTACTGCTATTAATTGCGATATTGAATCCATACACTTTTATTGAAAGTTTAACAACTATGTTGCTTAGCATAAAACTGATTGACATCAGTTCTGACACTCTCCGAAATTCTTCCTTGAATTCTCAATCTGGAAGCCGAGCTTGATCGAGTCTATGCTCTTTTTTATGTCAAAGTGAATTTTGACAAAAAAAGTCACGGTAAAATTTTCAAACTCAGAAGGTGTAGGAAGTCTAAAAAGAGTAGTTTGTTTTCGGCGTCACTAGATGGTGCATGATACTACCGTACATCAAAAATTATGTAACATAAAAAGATTTTTAATTGTATAGTCATTTGCTTGCTTAACTGAGCAATCAATAGACTCTTCCGAAACTTCATTGTCCATATAACTCAAAGCCCCTCTTTTGCTGGACTCTGGGTATAGGGAGTCTAAGGCGAGTCTAATGAATTCCAGTTATATATCTAACAGCTTTAGCCTGCGTTTTTCGAACTGTGAGTCTAGGAGAATTAACATTCATAGATATATAACTGCTATTCAATAAAGTCACCTTAGATCCCCTAAAAACTTATCAATCATAAGTGCGATCGAAGATGCGACAGTAAAAATGAACACCACAGGAATGATGGAACCCGACGCTTATTAAAGATCATTGACTGAACATTGAACTGACAGTTCATACCTTCATAACTCAAGAATCGTAAGTGGGATCGAAAGTCTGATAAGGATATCAGACTCTCAATGAGCACTAGAAGTTGGCCGATACCTTAATAAGTCTAGAATTATAAGTGGAATCACAACTCTGATGGAAACAGTAGCCTGCCAATGGATAATCGAATCTGGCGCATAGCAAAGACCAGTGGTTGAACGTCGAATCGCTAGGCGGCATCTTATTATAAAGGTATAAAGGTAAAGTGCAGATATGGAACTTTACAGAAAAACAACAGACATCCAATATGAATGGGATATAAGTAGTGTAAATATATTTTTTTTCTACTAACATTGAAGCACGTCTGATAGATATTTTTATCTACATGGCTACCAAGAGCGACGGCGGAACATTTTGAAATTGGGTGAGACTCAATAGAAGTTTATATACTGTTCAAAAATAACTTTTGACATATTAGCATTAGATAATATGAGTGAATTTCAGGTAATAAGCTTTTTAAGACTACCTAATTTTTTGCTATCCAAAAATGACTGCACTTACTTATTCTCTCCATTACTAGCAGGATTTCTAAATTTTTATAAAAAGACAAAAATTAAGCAAAGTATAAGAATCATTCATTTCACATTAGAACATTAACCCAAAAAGCTTCTTCTTTTTTCATTTGATGATATCAATTTGAACATTGAAGAACGATCTATAAGTCTTGGACTTTTTCTTCCCTATAAAAATTCCACAAACGCTCGAACTTCGGTATCAAATCTTTTGTAACTAGGCAAATAGTGTCCTAAATTTTCACATATGTATTCCTACCAAAGGGAGATATATAGGTTAATATTTTGAAAAATTTTTTCGTATGCTCGAAAAATAAAAGACACCAATAAAACAAAAACGTAGAAAGAACAGTATAAAATCTAGTCTAGATCTGAGGAATTATGTGAGATAAGATATTCTTCTACATAATATGCAATATAAAATTAAAAGAGCAACAGTAAAAGCAAGATGATTACGAAGATCAAGAACAGAAAGATTTAAATTATCACTCGAATATATATTACCATAACTAAAAGTCAGAATATTGTTTTTTATTTTAGGGAAATTCGAAAAAAGATTTTTGACAATGTTAACTCATATATCTCTTTCATTTGTACGGGATACAGATGTGAAAATTTCGAACACTATTTTCTTAGTTACAATGGATCAGATATGAAAAGTCGACCATTCTGGGGTGTGCTATAAGGGAGAACCACTTTATCTAAATAAGATAAAAGACCTTGGCTAAACGAATCTTATATATATTTGAAATTGAAGAAAAATGATGACTCGTCTTAGATGAAAAAATATAGAAGAATTATTTATTCTTTGAGAAAAAAGTCTAGATGTAGAAGAAATTAACACATGAAGAAATAATTATTGTTAATCTGACAAAAAAAACTTTACAAAGAAATTTTTTGTATTTGACATAATAACAAAATTCGATGAAGAGATTTTTTTCTTCATACAAAAGAAAAAAATATGAAGAAGAAATTTGTTTTGTTTGAGAGAAAAAAAAATAGATATATAGAATAAAGGAATACATTTAACAATAAATTCTTTTCTTATCTAATATAAACAAATAAATGAATATTTAATTTTTTTCAACAATATCCAACATCTGATTGATGATATAACGAGCAGCATCCATTTGTTCATTATGAAGTTGTACAGCTTGTTGATTAAGTTGTGTAGTTTGATTATTAATATAGTGGTTATACCAATAATTATTGTATGTAATTAATGTTAAATATCCAGCATGAATATTATCCATTTGATCTTGTATACGTTGTTCTTGTCGCGTTTGACCATCTGGTCCAACATTCTAAATAAAGAATAATCGTCTATTATTGATCGAAATTCGAAACAACTATTTTACTTCATCAACATTGTTTATTCTTATTGGATTTGAATTCATCTAGAATAATAAGAGACGAAAAATAAAACGACATACTTTTATAAAACCCATCAGAAATCTAAAGACGTTCGTTTTATAATAAAACAAGAAATATCGACGGAGTCTGATATCCTCTGAGTATAGAGGAAGAGAATTCGTTTCTTTATATTTCAGCAGATCTTTGTCTATATCCATCAATAAGAAAAGGTCTATTTCATATAGAAATAAATGATATATGAGATGTCGCCAGATGATAGGATTTATTCATTTGTAAAATGTTAAGCTCTTTCCTTATTGGTTAATCTATTCATTTAGTTATCATATGAGATTTTATTCTCTAGTAGATATTTTCAATAGGAATAGCTAGAAAAGGTTTAAACAAATATCTAAAATGAATTTATCTATATAGTTTATTATTGATATAAATATGAAATATAGATTTTGTTAAAGTATATTAGAAATTCGATTTATTTTCTTAACAATAATCAAAGTAGTTTTAGAACTAATAAGAATATTTGTTATTTTATTTCTATGATTGAAATTTTTATTGAATTGTCGAATCGTCTTTGATCATTTGATAAAGTGAGATGAGACAATAGTTTATTGAAATATAATTGAGCTAAAATAAAAAAAATATCTTGTTTTGTTGAGAAAGAGAACGATTGAAATTTTTAGATGAAAAAAAGATTATTGTTAACCAAATCGAAGTTAACTTTTCATTGTCAAATTGATGATTTTGGTCAAAATCAATCGAATAATAATAAACATAATCATAACAAATAGAATAGTCAAAGAAATATTTCTTTTATTAATTATTTAATTATTTAATTCTATGATTAGATAATTAATACTTTTTTTTTTTTTATTCATTTAAAAATATTTTAATATCGAATTCGTTTTTAAAAATCGATCGAATCAACTTTCGTCGAGAATATTCTTGGTTTTTTTTTCAATGAAGATATAATAAAAGTTTTCTCTTAATAAAATAATATTCTCTTTCTTAATTATGATTATCTATGATCTCATATTTTGACTCAATCGATAATTTATCTGATTAGTTTTATCCAATAAATAAATATTATTTTATTTTATTTAAAGATTTTAATATATAAATATAAGTTTTCTTTTTGAGAGAATCAATAATTAATATTCTATGATCATAGGATAAAATCAATAGTTGACAACATTTAGATATGAGAGTACTCAACATCGATCGAAATTCGATTTTGAGGTTATCAATATTCTATATTTCGAATGAATATTTAATGTAGATTTGAAAAAGTTCTTGTTTATCGACATCAATGGTAAGAAAAAGCGAAGAAAGTTATTGGATTTTGACGGATTTATTATGAAAATGATTCGTTTCGACAAGAAGTCTCGATCTCGAATAAATTGAATAGAGAAAAAGAGTATTTTCACAATTGAGACCACCTATATTTGAATAATTAATTGAAAATTGAGAGATGAAATTGTAAATATGAATACATATGATCAAGGTCAGACAATCATCATATGAACACAAATTCAAACAACTGTAGATGAGAGATTTTTTCAATCATATTTTATTTTGAAAACTAATTTCCTTTTTTATTTCATCGAATCTAACGATAAAGTTCTTTTCAATTTCAAAACAATCAATTTCTTCTTTCATTGATAAATTTTGTTTAAAAGTAAAATCTTTATCCAACAAATAATAGTCGTTTACTTAGATGAAAGACCTAATTCGACAAAGGTACATCCGATTTTAAACGCTATCTAGAATTTAACAGTCTTTCTTTTATCTAGGGGATACTTTAACAAAATGCTTCGAAGTTGCTTTTTTAGGAAACGATGCTTTTTCGACCTACTGATCGACAAGAAAATTTTCTTTTTAAACCGACAAATGATGAAGAATTTCTAATAACATGCCCGTTTTCAGCAGAGAATAGGTTACATTTTCAAAAAAAATCGACTCTCCAACTCTATATTTAAATTTGTAAATTTAATTTGAAAATTTTCAATTGAAACTATTTTATACGATGTAAATAACTCAATAGTGGAAAGTGTTGGAGGTCTTAACTAAACACCATTCGATAGACAATTGAAAACTAAACAAATCCAGATAGTTGAGCAATTTCTAAGATAAATTTTATCACCCGAGATTTTTTCAAAACTCTTTTTCGACCATTTGAACAAAGTTTAATACCTCTATAAAAGCCTTGTTTCTCTTAGGGTGTGAAGTGTAGATGTGCATACGAATGTGGCTATGGATGGAGATGTGAGTGTGAATGTGGGTGTAGATTAGAGTGTGGATGACGCTCTCGGTGTGAGTGTTAGTAGACTTTTCTCTGACACTCACACCTACGCACATTCCACACCCATACTGACACACCCTTCTATTGCTTTCAATAATAATTATTTTCTATCCATTTCAAAATACAAAGCAGGAAATTCAGAGTTGAATAAGTTGAGAAGCAGCGGTGAAATTCGGTTTCTAAAGGATCTCTGGAAAATGATGGTGCCGTTTCGGAAAGCTTTAGTTGCTTTTCGATCAAAATTCATCGATTCTGTAGCCTAGGATTTTCTTTACAAAATCACATCAACCGCAGATTTTTCTGAACTCACACATTGGAATTCTATAAATCCTAGAAAAGCACACTTTTTAAGCTTGGTTCATCTTTAATTTGCATGGAAACGTAGGTTTTCGACTATGCTGAACATTGAAACAATGGTTGATTTTACAGTCGAATTTAGCAGAATTTGAAGAAGTTCTACACAATTTTTCGTCTTACACCAACTTGAATCTCCTAGACCAGACACTCAGCAAGAAAACTTGAGTAAAGACAATTGGTTTATCTGCAGTGACAACCATTGACAATGAAATGTTAAAGATTGTTTTACGATTATTCCGAGAGAATGCATTCTTTTTCGTGATTTTAACTTGCTGGTGACTTGTTTTCTTGAACTCTATTCGAAAGAATTGGATTCTAATGATCACATTTTTTGTTCATTCATCGTCTCAGTTACTTTATCAAGTAGTTACCTTGTTAGGGCACCACCTCTACAAAACAATTTCATTTGAGTTCATGGGAATGAAACAACTGCTGATATTAAATTGAATTAGAGACGACAACAATCCACACTTATTGATGCAAGAATGCCTCTCAGATAGAGACAAATATCTTCGAATTCTAATAATAATCTGAAAGTGGATGAAATCTAAAAAATTTTGAAGATCTGAAGAATCCGAAAACCAGTATTTTTCTCCTTTGGCAAAACTATTAATTTCTATTGGAAAAAAAGAAATATTTAGATGAATGTTGATGAACCTTGTCTTCATCAGGTGACATTGTTGGAAGTTCATGTTCATAAGTGAGATTTGTCACATCACTACAGATAGTCATATTGAGACTGTATTGTTCCAACTTGACGTCTGTAAGCAATCAAGTTTTTTCACTTTTCCATTAATTCGCTGATTTTGTAGAATTCTTTGATTTCTTCGAGCGATAAATCATATTTCTTCAATTGGAATTTCATTTGATGTTCTTCGTCTCTGGACGGCATTCTTTTGCAATATCATTCGATTATTCTTGCTTTTGTTTTTGATTTGATGAATTTGTTTTCAAGCTAAAAGTCCAGGTGTTATCAATTGATCGAGAAGAAATTGCAGCCGATATGTGAACGTCAATTCAACATAAATAAAAAAGCTACTTAAATAAATATAAGTCGAAAAATTCTTTCATTTTTTAGTCGGAGATTGCTAAACCAACTAGATTTTAATTGAATGTACTCGGAAATTCTACAACTTCTTAGATTCAACGAAACCTCAATTAAAGCTACACATAGTTTAGTATAAATATATGAGATAAATTCTTTATTTCCACCTTTTTCGACCTTCTTTTGTTTTTAGATCTTCTGAAAATCTCGACTTTGTCTGACACATATTACTTTCAATAGGAAAACTAAGTGTTTTATATAAGGTTTCTGATGGTGAGTGATTCTATTCTTAATCAATTTAAATAGATATTGAAAATGAAAAATCACTCGCTATATTTTATCTATAATGTATTAACCTATTGATGATAACATCTCTCAATGATCGATTTGTTATTTACTTTTAGATATCTGAAATACTTCGAATCAATACCATTTTTGATTAATCTGATCAATTAACTATTTATTTATCAATAGAAAATGAATCATATTGATAGAGAAAATTCATCTAATACTCATAGAAAAGTAGGACAATTAAAATGATTTGTTTTTTATTTTAACTTTTGCTTTATATTCAGTTGTTGATGAATAGCAATGCGATAGATAGAAAAGAAAAATTTTAGTTATTTTCGATTTTTTATTATTTATTTTGATCAATGTTAATCTTATTCGATGGTCAAATAAAAATTCAGTTCGGATAGGAAAATAATTAATCTTAAGTTTATTGATTTATCAATTGAATGATCTTTTCTATAATGAAACATTTTCTAATCATGTCATTAGACAGAAAAAATATTCAAGTAATCGTCGATATTTTAACAAGTTCTTTACAATTTCTCGATTGAATTTTGAATTGGTTAAAAATTGAAAGAAAATTTTTTTTTCCTATAAAAATCATTCATTTGATGTTGTCTATTCGATGGTTAAAATTATCATCGATTGTTTGTTTATTTGTTTATTACATATTTCAATCGATAAATATCATTTTTATAATGATAGTCTATCAATAATTAAATCTCTTATTGGGTTTTTTTTCAATCGAACGCATTGATTTTGATGTTCTGTATCAGTATTGATACTATTATTCATTCGAATAGATTACAAAATCAAAATCAACTTTACTTTTTACTATTATCTTCAACAAAATTAGTTGACGATGCAGATATTTGCACTTTAAAATATTATAAAAGTTTGACTGCAACGGTTTCTACTGTGACAATTTACCTATATGACGATCTCTTCTATGATAAAAACTTCAGTAATAATCTAGCATATTTTTCTTTTGTATTAATTATAGCATTGTTCAAACAAAAAATATAAATGGTTTCAATCTCATAATCTTGAACATGGTAAATTTTTTATTTTGAAAAGAGCCAGCG